TATATAATATATAATATATAATATATAATATATAATATATAATATATTATATATTATATATTATATATTATATTTAGATATTATATATTAGATATTACATATATTATGTATTATTTATTATATAATATACATAATATATTATTATATTTTATTATATATAATTTCATTTATATTATATTATATTATATTATATTATATTATATTATATTATATTATATTATATTATATTATATTATATTATATTATATTATATTATATTATATTATATTATATTATATTACATTACATTACATTATATTACATTATATTACCTTATATTGCATTATATTAGATTATATCATATAATACCATATTGCATTATATTATTATATACTATATTATGTATATGTATATCATATAATAATATATTATATTGTTCTATTCTATATATTACATTGCATTATATTAACCATTTTTTATATCACATTATATTACATTTTAACCACATTAACCATTATTTATATCACATTATGTTACATTAACTACCATTTCCATTTCTAAATATAACCATATATAATGATGCACAATTAAATCGCTATCATTCCATATTATCTAATGTGCTCATGAGGGGGATGTGGGTTTGTCCCTGAATCCCTGAAATCCCCGGAGTCCCCTCCCTCTCCCGGAGCAGCTCTGAATGGAGAGCTGCAGCAAGGCATGAATGGGGCCCGCTGCTATTTTTTCCCCTTTCTCCTGAGGAAATCTCAGTAGTTACTATAACAACCCTGGCCAGATCCCATCTTGTTTAGAATGGTAACAAACAGCAAACAAAAAAGCCGGGGCTGGCTTTTAAAAATCGCCGGCTCCACAAATTCCCTCTCCCAGCTCCCTGGGGACAGAGGGGAACTGTGGGAGACGGGCTTGTGAAAAACCTGCAAAACTTAACAGAAAGTTTACACACTGCGAACCTGCATGCAAACTTTGAGGTAATAAATACTCATTTAAAATAGATGGAAGACAGACATTGTGAGGAGAAAAAACATTTCTGTGTGCAAACTTTAAGAGAAGAAATACTACCTTAAAAATACTGTGGAACAGGACAGACATTGTCGAGAGAAAGACAGAACTAGAAATAGATGGCTTTACAAATAGGACTAAATGCTTTTAAAAAATAGAACTGTGAAAAATTCGTTGCAACATGTCCAACAGGGAAGTTTTGCAGAGACAGGAGTGTGCAGCAGCACTGCCTGTGGTCCTGAGGGGGACATAAAGGGGGACACAAACAAGTGAACCAAGTGTCAAAGCGAGCTCAGGAGATGCTGTCACACAGCTTGAGCTGCCAGGTGCTGCCACCAAACACCCCAGGGAAAATGCAGGGAAAAATGAGGCTTTGCTCCTGTTCCTCCTGGAAAAGTCAGGCACGTTCTCTTAAGCAGAGCCTCCAAAAGCCAGGAGCAAACTGTGCCACGTGCAGCAGCTCCGAGTGCCAGGCAGCTCCCAGCTCCTCTCGTGGCTGCTGATGTCTAAAATTACACTTCAGCTCCCTCCCAGCAGCAAGAACCAGCTCTGTCTGCAAGGTTGTGCCACTGTTTCAATATTTATTGTTGCTTGCTTTCTCTGCTGCTGTCTGTGGGATGAAGTGTCACTCGAGATTTTACAGCATCCCTGAGTAAAAAAAAAAACAAACCCACAAGCAGGTTTTTTTAATTTTCCCCCGGAGTGTCTCGTTCCTCCCATAGCCCCTTTCCTCAGAGGAAAAACCTCGAGCACTTCTAGCGGTGGCTGCTGGGGTCTGGGCTCTCACAATGGGTGCCAGACAGACCATCTGCAGCAGGGATGCTCTCGGGGCTCAGCCCTGCCAGCCCCACAGCGCCTGCAGCCGGGACAGCACCCCGCACGGCCGGGCACGGCTGGGCACAGGTGGGAACGGGCAGCACGGCTGGGCACGGCTGGCACGGGCAGCACGGCTGGCACGGGCAGCACAGCTGGGCACAGCTGGGCACGGGTGGGCACGGCTGGGGAACGGGTGGGAACGGAAGGGAACAGGTGGGAACAGGGCTCCAGCTGTGCTGGGAATGGGGATGGGGCAGGGAATGGGACTGGGGATGGGACTGGGGATGGGATTCCAGCTGGGCTGGGACAGGGGATGGGGCAGGGAATAGGGATAGGGAATAGGATTCCAGTTGGGATGGGACTGGGCCAGGGAATGGGGCAGGGAATGGGGTTCCAGGTGGGCTGGAACAGGGAATGGGGCAGGGAATGGGGTTCCAGGTGGGCTGGAACAGGGAATGGGGCAGGGAATGGGGTTCCAGCTGGGCTGGAACAGGGAATGGGGCAGGGCTGGGATTCCAGCTCTGGAAGGAGCAGGGATGGGCCAGGGCTGGGATTGCAGCTGGCAGGGAATGGGACTGGGGATGGGACTGGGGATGGGACTCCAGCTGGGCTGGGACAGGGGATGGGGCAGGGAATAGGGATAGGGAATAGGATTCCAGTTGGGATGGGACTGGGCCAGGGAATGGGGCAGGGAATGGGGTTCCAGGTGGGCTGGAACAGGGAATGGGGCAGGGAATGGGGTTCCAGGTGGGAAGAGGGAATGGGGCAGGGAATGGGGCTCCAGGTGGGATGGGCCAGGGAATGAGCCAGGGAATGGGACTGGGCTGGGATTCCAGCTCTGGAAGGAGCAGGGATGGGCCAGGGCTGGGATTGCAGCTCTGGAAGGAGCAGGGAATGAGGCAGGGCTGGGATTGCAGCTCTGGAAGGAGAAGGGAATGGGGCAGGGTTTGGATTACAGCTGGGATGGGACAAGGAACGGGCCAGGACTGGGATTGCAGCAAGAATGGGCCAGGGCTGGGATTGCAGCTCTGGAAGGAGAAGGGAATGGGGCAGGGCTTGGATTCCAACTGGGATAGGACAGGGAATGGGACAGGGCTGAGACTGCAGCAAGAATGGGCCAGGGAATGAGCCAGGGCTGGGATTGCAGCAGGGATGGGCCAGCGCTGGGACTGCAGCAGGGATGGGCCAGCGCTGGGACTGCAGCAGGGATGGGCCAGCGCTGGGACTGCAGCAGGGATGGGCCAGCGCTGGGACTGCAGCAGGGATGGGCCAGCGCTGGGACTGCAGCAGGGATGGGCCAGCGCTGGGACTGCAGCAGGGATGGGCCAGCGCTGGGACTGCAGCAGGGATGGGCCAGCGCTGGGACTGCAGCAGGGATGGGCCAGCGCTGGGACTGCAGCAGGGATGGGCCAGCGCTGGGACTGCAGCAGGGATGGGCCAGCGCTGGGACTGCAGCAGGGATGGGCCAGCGCTGGGACTGCAGCAGGGATGGGCCAGCGCTGGGACTGCAGCAGGGATGGGCCAGCGCTGGGACTGCAGCAGGGATGGGCCAGCGCTGGGACTGCAGCAGGGATGGGCCAGCGCTGGGACTGCAGCAGGGATGGGCCAGCGCTGGGACTGCAGCAGGGATGGGCCAGCGCTGGGACTGCAGCAGGGATGGGCCAGCGCTGGGACTGCAGCAGGGATGGGCCAGCGCTGGGACTGCAGCAGGGATGGGCCAGCGCTGGGACTGCAGCAGGGATGGGCCAGCGCTGGGACTGCAGCAGGGATGGGCCAGCGCTGGGACTGCAGCAGGGATGGGCCAGCGCTGGGACTGCAGCAGGGATGGGCCAGCGCTGGGACTGCAGCAGGGATGGGCCAGCGCTGGGACTGCAGCAGGGATGGGCCAGCGCTGGGACTGCAGCAGGGATGGGCCAGCGCTGGGACTGCAGCAGGGATGGGCCAGCGCTGGGACTGCAGCAGGGATGGGCCAGCGCTGGGACTGCAGCAGGGATGGGCCAGCGCTGGGACTGCAGCAGGGATGGGCCAGCGCTGGGACTGCAGCAGGGATGGGCCAGCGCTGGGACTGCAGCAGGGATGGGCCAGCGCTGGGACTGCAGCAGGGATGGGCCAGCGCTGGGACTGCAGCAGGGATGGGCCAGCGCTGGGACTGCAGCAGGGATGGGCCAGCGCTGGGACTGCAGCAGGGATGGGCCAGCGCTGGGACTGCAGCAGGGATGGGCCAGCGCTGGGACTGCAGCAGGGATGGGCCAGCGCTGGGACTGCAGCAGGGATGGGGCAGGGCTGGGATTGCAGCAGGGATGAGCCAGGGCTGGGATTGCAGCAGGGATGAACCAGGGCTGGTCCCTCAGCCTGGGGGTGGCTGTGCATGTCCCACCACAGCTGGGATGAGCCTCCACCCATGGGATCTCTGGTGGCGTTGGGATCCAGCCCCTGCAGCCCTCTGCCAAGGGGCTCCTGGCACACACTGGGGTCACTGGGGGCCAGGACAGCACCTCAGGGACCTTCTGGAGAAGAGAGCATGGCCCAAACCCTGCCACTGCTGCACCCAGCCCGGAGCAGTGGGAGGCACAGAACCACACACCCCAGCACTGCTCAGGAATCCTGAGACCAGTCCAACCACCCCAGCACTGCCAGGGCCACCACTGCCCCTGTCCCCACGTGCCACAGCCACAGGGCTCTGAAATCCCCCAGGATGGACACCCCACCCCTGCCCAGGGCACTCCCAGTTCCTGACCCCCTTTCCATGGGGAAATCCCTGCTGATGCCCACCCTGAGGCTCCCCTGGGGCTGTCCCCTCTCCTGTCCCTGTTCCCTGGAGCAGAGCCCAGCTCCCAGCTGGCTCCAGCCTTTCAGGGGGCTGTGCAGAGGCAGCAGCTCCCCCGAGCCTCCTTCTCCCCAGGCTGGTGCTCAGGAGGAGGAAGAGCAGCCCCAGCAGGAGCTGAGCCCTGGGCTGGTGGCCACCCCCGAGCCCTGCCAGCCCAGGGACAGCCCAGGGGGTGCCACCCGTGCAGAGCCCCTGCAGCCTGAGCTGTCCCTGTCCCCTGGCTGCTCTGGGAGCAGCCTCAGAGCCACCTGTGCCACACAGGGCACAGGCAGGGCTGTGCCAGCTCCACCCGCTCCTGCCAGGGCCACTGCAGGGCCACCCCGGGGACAGGGGAACACCAGACACGTGTGCCATGGATGGGCCGGGCTCAGGGGACAGCCTGGCGTCACCCTGGGACTGTCACACTGGGACTGTCACACTGGGACTGTCACACTGGGACTGTCACACTGGGCTCACTGGGACTGTCACCCTGGGGTTCTGGCCATGACCTCTGTGTGCCCTGATCTCCACAGGTTCCACCTCCAGCCCAGCCATGGCCAGGGGGATGTGCCCCAGCCCAAGGGTCCCGTGGCCAGCAGCAGCTGCTGAGGCTGGGGGATCAGCTGGGGGATCCAACAGGGGGGGGATCAGCTGGGGGGATCCAATGGGGGGGGATCAGCTGGGGGATCCAGCTGTGGAGGCCCAGCTGTGGAGGCCCAGCTGTGTCCCAGCCCAGCCTGGGCCCTGTCTCCCTGCTCCCCAGGGTGACACACATGGCAGACTTGACTCCAGCTGGCCCCATTGTATTGGATCCACAGTGACAGACAAGAGGAGCCAGAAACTTTTTGTTCGAGTGGAGCCAGCAGCTGTGACACTGAATAAACACAGACAGACAATCTGCTGAGTAAGAAGGTAGCGTTCATATAAATAACATACATCTAATCCTGCTTCCATTTCAGCCCCAAATATGGGAATGCAAGATGCTCTGCAGCTCCGGGCTCTGAACAATGAGACGGAGCAAGAGCAGCCCCGGGAGCTCTCCTGGGTTCTGACTGCACTGGGAATTGCTGTTCCTCCTTCCCACAGAGTGCTGACAGGCTCGTGGCACATGCCATGAGCCCACTGATCAAAACATCTGCTGCCCTGACGGACCTTCCTCGTTACACAGCAATTAAAAGCATTACTGCAATCATCTGACCCTGCAGGTGCCAGGGCCAGGCCCTGAGGCCCCGAGGGACAGCTGGGGACAGCCCTGGCTGCCCCTGCCAGGACAGACACGTTTCCCTCCCAGAGCAGGGGTCTGCAGGGGTGCAGCTGCCAAGGGATGGTTCCACGGGAGAGCCGTGGGGAGGGGAGTGAGAGCCACCAGAGCTGCTCCCCAGAGGGGCTGCAGCACTGCCACCAGTGCCACCAGTGCCACCAGTGCCATGCTGCAGCCCCCGTGCCCTCAGCTGTGCCCGGTGCCACGGGGGTGAGTGTCCCCCCAGCAGATAAAAGCACAGCTGCCACACAACCCACGGCCATCCCCTCAGGATTTTCCATCCTCAAGGGCCTCTGGAACACAAGGAAGTTTCTAACTGTGCTCAGAATCTGCTTTACTGAAAAGTGAATGAGTGAGGGAGGAGTGGCACTGATGATCCTCAGCACCCCTCACCCCTCCTCACAACACAGCAGGATGCCACCATGGAACACACAGCCACCAAAAAAAAAAGGATTAAAATAAAAAAATTAAAAATTAAAAATACAAATAAAAGCAATTAAAAATAAAACTATTTTAAAGATTCAATCTCGCCCCATTTCCCAGCGTTTTCCCTGGGTTCACCTCCACTCCCATCAGACACTCCTCCATCTCCTCTTTTTCCCCTCCAAGGCAAGCAGGATTTGTTTGTTCCCTGCAGCCCTGGGCTGGGAGATGCAGCCATCTGTCAGAGGGAGGGAGCTCCCTGCACACGCCTGGGGCTCAGCAAACCCTTCCTGGCTGTCACTGCCCCTCAGTTACCAAAGGAAGGCAAAAACCTTGGGGTTCTACGTCTGCAGCCCCCAATTATGGCAAACACACGGAGCAGAGCGAGCAAAAAGCTGATTTTGTGCCCTGAGAAGTCACCCAGGTGATTGTTCTGCCAAGGGAATTTGTGGGGACATCACCAGGGACGTTCAGGTCTCCTGAGGCATCCCTGCCATGGAATTCACACCCCAGAGGAAATGTCAGAGGGCATTTCCCTCCCTGGAATGCCCCAAGCTGTTTCTGAAGTCCAGCCCAGTCCCAGAGATGGACACCACACCTCCCTGCTCTGTTGAGGCTCACTCTGGGACCCAAACCCAAAACTGCTCAGTTTTCACCCAGGATAAAACTGGGCCACTCAGACTTTGTTCTTTTTATTTCCTGGGTTTCACCTCCCTGAAAGAGCCTCACCAAAAGCTGTCTGGAAAAATGAACTTACACCAAGTGACCCCTCTGAACCCACACCCTGCCCAACCTCCCCAAAACCTGGCAAGGTTTCAGCAGGTGACCACGGGAAGGTGGAGAGCTGTGTGGCTGAGCTGGGCTCACCCCAAGGGCTTCAGACAGGAGCTGAGCTCAGCCAGGAGCCCAAACCCCCTGCACCCCTGGAGAGCCACGAGCAGGAAAACCCCCAAGAGCAGCAGAGATTCAGCCCTTAAAATGTGCTGGGAAGGGAATGGAGCCCCAGGAGGGGCTGAGAGAGCTGGGAAGGGGCTGCAGACTCCCTGAGGAGCTGGGAAGGGGCTGCAGAATCCCTGAGGAGCTGGGAAGGGGCTCAGCCTGGAGCAGAGGAGGCTCAGGGGACCTTGGGGCTCTGCACAGCTCCTGCCAGGAGGGGACAGCCGGGGGGGTCGGGCTCTGCTCCAGGAACAGGGACAGGAGGTTCAGGGAGGACATTGGGGAAAAAGATACAATAAAAAGGAAAAAAGAGCTGCCCTTCACTGAAATTCCAGAGTTTTCTGGCCAAAGGGCAGAGTTCCAGAGCAGGAGCAGAACTGTTCCTTCCCCAGGGCTCCCCACCACCCTCAGGCATTATCTGGTGGAAGCACAGAGCTGCAGTGAGGCTGCACAACACCAAATGGAAATAAAGGGGCAGGATCCCCAAATCCTGCTACAAACAGGGCAAGAACTGAGGAAAAAGCACAGCCAAGACCTGAGGGAAAAGCACAGCCAAGACTTCTGGAGTGCAGCCCCTGCCGAGCTGCACCACAACCACCCTGTCCATGGAATTCACATTTGCTCTCTCTTTCCCCCACCTGCATTTTGGCCATGAAAACCTGCAGGAGTTTTCCTCCTGAGAAGACAAAAATCCGTGGCAATTTTGCCCAAGCCCAGCTCAGGTGGCAGAGGGAGCTGGGGCTGTGGGTTCCTGGTGCCTGATGCCAGGCAGGTTTCTGTTCCAGATTTAACAGCACTCCTCGGGGCAATCAATCAGCTGTGAGACACAAACCCAGTGCAAACACGGGCTCATGACTCCTGCTGCTCACTGCAGAGATTGGTTTTCACCTCCAGCTGCCTGACAGCAGCCCTGGCCAAAAGAGGAGAGCACACATTACCTCGGTCACAAAGAGGGTGCGGGGGTCGATGATGTCCAGGAAGTGCCTGAATCTGCCATAAAATGAAGTCTGGAAAACAGGAGACAAAAAAAAATCATCACGTTCAGTGAGAAATGGCCTTTCAGGGTTTATTTCCTTTGCAGAGTGAAGCAGCAGCTGAAAATAAATAATATAGGAGGTCTTGGCTGGTAATTTGGGATGGGGAATCCACAGCACCCAAAGGGATCCCTCCCTTTGCTCCCAGCAAAAGCCTCTTGAGGCTCTTTGCAGCTTTTCCATCCCTACACAGGCACAGCCAGCCTGGATTATTCCCAAAGTGCCACCAAGAGCCAGCCCAGCCAGGCCAGGCTGCTCAGGGCTCCAGCCTGGGAGAAGAGTCTGCAAGGAGGGGAAAGGATCTGGGAAACAGCAGGGGAAGGTCATGGGCAGCTCCACAGGAAAGGAGGAACCACGACTCAGTATTTAAAGAGTGAAAATAAAAATATCAGTGGAGTTTGTACCCACTCCAAGCCCCAGACCATGAAATATTGAGATATGGGAGCCCTTGGGACACATGGACACCATCACTGCTACCCCAGCTGGATTCCAGGAGCCAGAGGCAGGTGAATTCCAGACCCCCAGGGCAGCCCAGCCCTGGTGCTCCCCCCATCTCCCAGAGCCCATTGGGATGTGGATCACGGCCAGGGCCATCAGGAGCTCTGGGATCCTGGGAATTCTGCATCCTCACGTGGCCCATCTCCTGCTGGGCTCCTTCTGCAGGGCTGGGCTATAAATAAAGGCCTGGAGTGTGGATGGAGCAGTGGGAAGGGTGTTTAATCACTGCTGGCACCTCATCCCAGAACGTGCTGCTGCTTCCCTGCTCCTGCAGGGATCCCCCTGATTCCTGCAGGAATTCCTCTGGAAGGGATTCAGGCACTGCTGCCCACCCACTGCAGCCTGGCCTCACCACCTCCCCCAGGTTCTGCCCCAAAAACACCAACCCAACACCCCCAGTGGAACTAAACAGCCCCACACAACTCCAGGGAGAAAGCACAGTGGTTTTTAATTAGCATGGATCCAATTAATGCTAATTCTGGTACTTTCCAGAGGATTTGAGCTTGACATTTTGCTGCCTCCCTTTTGTTTTGGGTTTGGGATTGCTGCAGATGGCAGCACGTGCCAGGGCTGGGGGAGTGAGCAACTCCTGACTCAGGCAGCCCTGAGCAATCCCAGGGAGCAGCAGCCAGCCCCTGCCCACCCCACAGTGCCCACAGAGGCCCAGGGCAGCTGGAACTGCTGCTCAGCTCACTCCAGGAATCAGTGCTACACTCTTGGGATTGCTGCTACACTCTTGGGATTGCTGCTAAACTCTTGGGATTGCTGCCAACCTGCTGGAATTGCTGATAACCTGCTGGAGTTACTGATAACCAGCTAAAATTACTGTTAAACACTTGGAATTACTGCTAGCCAGCTGGAATTACACTTGGAATTACTGCTAAACTAACTCCAGGAATTAGTGCTAAACTCTTGGGATTGCTGCCAACCAGCTGGAACTGCTGTTAACCTGTTGGAATCACTGATAACCTGCTGGAATTATTGCTAAACTAACTCCAAAAATTAGTGCTAAACACTTGGAATTGCTGCTAAACACTTGGGATTGCTGCTAAATTAACACTTGGAATTATTGCTAAATACTTGGAATTGCTGTTAAATACTTGGGATTGCTGCTAACCTGCTGGAATTGCTGCTAACCTGTTGGAATTACTGCTAAACTAACTTCAAGAATTAGTGCTAAACACTTGGAATTACTGCTAACCAGCTGGAATTACTGCTAACTAACACCGAAATTATTGCAAAATACTTGGAATTGCTGCTAACCAGCTGGAATTACTGCTAACTAACACTGAAATTATTGCTAAATACTTGGGATTACTTCTAACCTGCTGGAATTGCTGCTAACCTGCTGGAATTGCTGCCTTCACCAGCAGCAGGACTGGGGGATTCTGAGCCTGAGTGGCCTTGACTTCCCCACTGCCTTTGTCTCTGTGCCACACTGAGAAAAGCAACACCAAAAGGAATTTAATGGAATTAAATGGAAATTAAAGGAATTAAATGGAAATTAATGGAAATGAATGGAACATCAGTGTTTTACACCCACTTGACCAAGGAGGGAATGGCAAGGGAGGGGGAAGGAGCCCTCAGGTTCCAGGGGCAGCATGGAAATGCCTTTGGAATGATCAGTTCCCTTTCCCAGCTGCCCAGGCCCTTGGGAGGCTTTGGGTGGCACTGAGCTCAGCCAGGCCCAGCTCCAGGACAGGTCTGAGCAGCAAAGCCCAGCTCCAGGACAGGTCTGAGCAGCAAAGCCCAGCTCCAGGACAGGTCTGAGCACTCAGACCCAGCTCCAGGACAGGTCTGAGCGCTCAGGCCCAGCTCCAGGACAGGTCTGAGCAGCAAAGCCCAGCTCCAGGACAGGTCTGAGCACTCAGGCCCAGCTCCAGGACAGGTCTGAGCACTCAGACCCAGCTCCAGGACAGGTCTGAGCACTCAGACCCAGCTCCAGGACAGGTCTGAGCACTCAGCCCTACCCTGATGTTATCCCAGGCTCACCTTCCCTGCTCCTCTCCTGCCCATGGCCGGGGGAGTGCCCAAACCCCGAAATCAGGGAATGGTTGGGTGGGAAGGATCCGAAATCCCACCCAGTGCCATGGCAGGGACACTGCCACTGTCCCAGGCTGCTCCAGCCCCAGTGTCCAGCCTGGCCTGGGCACTGCCAGGATCCAGGGCAGCCCCAGCTGCTCTGGGCACCCCAAGCCAGGGATTTGTTCCAGGAGCTGCTGCCTGAGCTTGTCCATCCTGTGCTCACAGAGCCCCAAAACCACTGGGGGAGCTGAGTCTGAGCAGGTTTGGTGGAGCTCTGGTGAGTCAGGGCCTCACTGCCCCACAACAAGAGTCCTCTGAGACCAGGCTCAAACTAGAGCCAGGCTTAAACCAGAGGGAGGCTTAAACCAGAGCCAGGCTCAAAACCAGAGCCAGGCCTAAACCCAGACCACCAGGGCTTGTTGAGCTCCATCTCAACTAGAACCAGGCTCAAACACAGACCATCAGGGCTCCACTCAACCAGAGCCAGGCTCAATCCCAGGGCCAGGCTCAATCCCAGGGCCAGGCTCAAACCCAGGGCCAGGCTCAAACCAAGACCATGAGGGCTCCACTCAACCAGAGCTAGGCTCAAACCCAGAGCCACCAGGGCTCCTTGAGCTCCATCTCAACTAGAACCAGGCTCAATCCCAGAGCCAGGCTCAGTCTCAGGCCCCCCGGGCTCCCTGGGCTCCACCTCAACCAGAGCCAGGCTCAAGCCCAGAACCAGGCTCAATGCCAGGGCCAGCATCAAACTAGAGCCAGGCTCAAACTAGAGCCAGGCTTAAACCAGAGCCAGGATCAAACCCAGACCCACTAGGGCTCCACTTCAACCAGGGCCAGGCTCAATCCCAGAGCCAGGCCCAATCCGAGGGCCAAGCTCAAACCAGAGCCACCAGGGCTCCTCGGGCTCCACTCAACCAGAGCCAGGCTCAAACCCAGTGCCAGGCTTAAACCCAGACCATGAAGGCTTCACTCAAAGCCAGAGCCAGGCTCAAAGCAGACCCACCAGGGCTCCTTGGGCTCCATCTCAACTAGAACCAGGCTCAAACCCAGAGCCACCAAGGCTCCTTGAGCTCCATCTTAAATAGAACCAGGCTCAAACCCAGACCACCAGGGCTCCACTTAACCAGAGCCAGGCTCAAACCCAGAACTGGTTCAATCCCAGAGCCAGGCTCAGTCCCAGGCCCAGGCTCAGCCCCAGGCCCAGGCTCAGTCCCAGGGCCAGGCTCAGTCCCAGGGCCAGGCTCAGTCCCAGGGCCAGGCTCAGCCCCAGGCCCAGGCTCAGTCCCAGGGCCAGGCTCAGTCCCAGGGCCAGGCTCAGGCCCAGGGCCAGGCTTAAGCCCAGGGCCAGGTTCAAGCCCAGAGCAGGCTCAGGCCCAGGGCCAGGCTCAAGCCCAGGGCCAGGTTCAAGCCCAGAGCCAGGCTCAAACCCAGAGCCACCAAGGCTCCTTGAGCTCCATCTTAAATAGAACCAGGCTCAAACCCAGACCACCAGGGCTCCACTTAACCAGAGCCAGGCTCAAACCCAGAACTGGTTCAATCCCAGAGCCAGGCTCAGTCCCAGGGCCAGGCTCAGTCCCAGGCCCAGGCTCAGTCCCAGGCCCAGGCTCAGCCCCAGGCCCAGGCTCAGTCCCAGGCCCAGGCTCAGTCCCAGGGCCAGGCTCAGCCCCAAGTCCAGGCTCAGGCCCAGGCCCCCAGGGCTCCCTCCCCACGCTCCCTGCCCCTCGTGCCCAGGCACAGCCCAGCCCTGCCCAACAAGCCCTCTGTGTTTTGCTGCTGCCCAGCCCTGGCAGTGCCCGCTGTTTGTTCCCTTTCGGTGCAGGGCAAAGCTGCCTCACTTGGCATGGATGGCCATGCCATCAGCCAGGGCAGCCCTGCTTCCAGCCTCTGCTCCTGACTGCAACCCAAATGAGCTTTTTCCAGCTCAAGTTTGGCTTTCACAGAGCTGCACACAAAACACAAGGGAAAAAAAAAAAAAAAAAAAAAAAAAACCACGAAAAACAAACCCCACAGCAATTCCCAATAATTCAGAAATTTGGGGAAATTCTTCCCTGGGAAGCTGTGAGGCCCTGGCACAGGAATTCCCACATTTGCTGTGGCTGCCCCTGCATCCCTGGCAGTGCCCAGGCCAGGTTGGACACTGGGGCTGGGGCACCTGGGACAGTGGGAGGTGTCCCTGCCACGGCAGGGGTGGCTCTGGGTGGGATTTTGGTTCCTCCCCAACCCAAAGCAGTCGTGGCAGTGCCCAGGCCAGGTTGGACACTGGGGCTGGAGCACCTGGGACAGTGGGAGGTGTCCCTGCCATGGCAGGGTGGCACTGGGTGGGATTTTGGTTCCTTTCCAACCCAAAGCAGTCTGGAATTCTGTGATCCAGCAAACCTAGAGCAGTCAGGAATGGCAATGGGATGGAGGAGCAGCCCCTGCCCTCCCTGCCAGCCCAGCCCAGGGCTCCCTGGAGCTGGTTCCTGTGCCAGGCTCATGCCAGGCTCATGCTAGCCCTGCTGCCACCCCCATGACAGCCCCTGGGATGAGTTTTGCTGTCCCAAATATCCACCCCTGGCTCCTTTGGCTGCTGGAGCAGCAGCTGGAGTGAACTGCAGCACAGTGAGCATCACCAATTCCCCCTGGTTAATTTGGGATACTTTGGGACCCTTTCTCAGCAGCCTGCAGCACCAGGAGCTGCCTGGCCATGCTGATTCCCAGGGCACAGAGCAGCTCAGGAGCAGCCCTGAAGGTCCAGCCCGTCCCAAAAACCACAGGGAAACATCTGAGAGAAGGTGAGAGGCCATCGGGAGCTGACAGTCACCTTCAGGAGGAAAAGAACTCCAAGGAGCCCATGCTGGGCAGCCCTGGGAAGAGCAGGGCACGGACAGCTTCTCCACTTTAATTACAGCCTGGTGCTACACAGCACTTAATTAAGCCAGAGCAAAAAGCACGCAGGCTTGGGGTGGGGTTGAGCTCCAAACCAGGCTGATGCCAGCTTTGAGTTAATTAGGAGAGATTTAAGGTAAGGCAAACAAGATGAAGGCAACTGAAGGCACTGAGCAATGGGACTGTCTCATTTGTGGGCTTGTCCAGCCCACTGCAAGTTTGGGCTGAAACTGGAATCCCTTTGATGGCTTCAATTTGGTTTTCCACAGTTCAGGAGCCAAGATTCCAATGGGAGAAGCTCCTGCACCAGGGGCAGGGCCAGGGCAGGGCACAGGAACCTGCCAGGAGCAAGAGCTGGGGGTTAAAACCAGAACAGACACCAACAAATTCCCCTTTAAACCCAGTCCTGGGTGGTGGAGGTGGAAAAGAGCAACAGCAGGAAGGAGCTGGAGCTGCTGGAATAAATCCAGAGGGACCTGCCATGGCAGGGTGGCACTGGGTGGGCTTTGAGGTCCCTTCCCACCCAAACCAGGCTGTGATTCCAGGATCCTTCTCCCCCTTCAAGGCAGCCCCTTCTCCACAGGGACATCCCTCCAGGAGAGGACTTTGATCCCATTGACTGAACAGGAGCCTCACACTGAGCAGCAGCTGAGGCACCTCCTGACCTCCTGCACCTCTGTCCCACTGCAGAGACATCCCAGACACGGAATCCTGGGTGGTTTGGCTTGGAAAGGACCTCAAAGCTCCTCCAGTGCCCCTGCCATGGCAGGGACCCCTGGCATGGACTTAGCCCAGGATAAATGTCTGGGCTCCAGGCACTGGGAACAGCCTTGGCAGAGGAAGAGCTCAGCAAACCCTCAGAGGAACAAAATCAGGAAATACAGGGGGGGAAAGGGAGCATTTCCAACAAATTAGCCCTGCTTGTCAGAAAATTAAGTCCTTATCACACATTCTCAGCCCAACGTCCTCATTTCTTCTTTCACCTAAAAATAGCCCCGTTCCCAGGGAGCCTCTTGGAGGGAGCTGGGAAAGGTGACTCGGCAGAATGCTGCAGAGCAAACGGGCAGGGAAGGGGTCTCACACCCCACAGGGCTCTGGGCTGCAGCTGCCCAAGTCCTGCTCCCCAAATCCTGCCCCTCCTGCTCCCCAAATCCTGCCCCTGCTGCCCAAATCCTGCCCCTGCTGCCCCCCCTGCTCCCCAAATCCTGCTCCCCAAATCCTGCCCCTGCTGCCCAGCTCCTGCTGGAGCTGCAGAGGGAAGGGAATTGTGCCCTGGAGGAGCCCCAGGGGCTCTGTCCCAGCCCAGCATGGGAACAGCTGCTCTCGTTCTCCTGCAGGGAAAGGGGTGCCCTGGGTCTGTGCCAGCCCCTGTGCCAGCCCCTGAGCCTCTGCACAGCCCCAGAGCTGCCCCAGGAGCGCTGCCATCCCAGCGGGATCCAGCTGGAATTGGGGATTTCAGCTCACCCTGCCCTGGACAAGGAGCAGGCTCGGGCAGCTCCAGCTGAGATCTGACACAGCCAGAGCTGGGCAGGGCAGGGAGGGGCTGGGAGAGCACAGAGCAGCTGGCAGGGAAGGCTGGGGATCCCTGACCCCCTGGCTGGGATCCCTGACCCCCTGGCTGGGATCCCTGACCCCCTGGGAATGCGCTGGGCTCCTCCAGCACAGAGTCTGGAAGGAAACACCACGCTCAGGATGGGGGAAATAGGGAACTGGAGGGGCTGGGGCAGGGATGGAGGGGCTGGGGCAGGGATGGAGGGGGCTGGGGCAGGGATGGAGGGGATGGAGCAGGGATGGAGGGGGCTGGGGCAGGGATGGAGGGGCTGGAGCAGGGATGGAGGGGGCTGGGGCAGGGATGGAGGGGATGGAGCAGGGATGGAGAGGCTGAGCTCTCCATGGAACAGTCTGGGATAGGAATGGAGAGGCTGGGCCCTCCACGGAGGGGTCCCAGGCAGGGATGGAGGGGCTGGGCTGCCCCAGTGCCAGCTGCTCCCTGAGAGGAGAAGGAGCAGCTCCATGCCTGAGGCACTGCCAGGAGGGAGCAGGGAGCCTCTAGTCTTCCTCCTCCTCATTAAAAACTCCGCAGCTGGAGCTTCCCTACGTCCCATGGGGAGTCAGCCCCTCCCTGGGGCTCTGAGGATGTGCTCTGTCACCTACAGAACCCCAAACCCCCACTCCCATTTCTGTTCCCATTGCCAGTCCCATTCCCACTCCCATTCCCATTCCTAATCCCATTCCCTATCTGCTGGCCCAGGTTGCTCCAAGCCCCGAGGGATGTGGGCTGTTGGGAGAGGCAGGAGATCCACCACGGAATGGCCCCACCATGGAATGGCCCCACCACAGAGTGGCCCCACCATGGAATGGATCCACCATGGAACAGATCCACTGGGGAATGGATCCACCAGGGAATGGGCCCTGAGAAATCCACAGCTCAGCCCAAAGGCGGGTGGGTCAAGCCAAGCACAGGTGTGGGGTCAGACTGGGGTTAAACAGGGGTTCGTCGGGGTTCAGTCGGGGTTTTGGGTTGCTGTGATGGTGGGAATGTCCCCGTGGGGGTTGTCCCAGTGGTGGGACATGCCCAAGGTAAGGAGCAGCTCCTCCAGGGAGTCCTGTCCAGCTCAGGAGGGACTGACACGGGTTTGATGAGCGTTTGTATCAGCACAAATGGTCCCACCAGCACAGGTCCTCTCTGGTCATCCCCGCTGGGGGTGGCAGCAGGGCCCACCTGCACCTGCCCTGCTCACCTGGGGCCAGGCGTGTGACCGACCACGGGCTGCTCTCCCCTCTCAGATGCCAGGTGGGGAGGACATAATAGCAATCTGTTGTACTATACAGATTCTGGGGGTCACCAGCCACCCCTCCCTCCTTTGGCACCAGGGCTGCACTCGGCCAGGTGAGGCTGGCAAAGCGCCCACATGGAGCTCCTGGGAGCCCTGCTCATCCCGGAGCCGCCTCGGGCAGAGCCCATTCCCCGCCAGCACCCCGAGGGGGAAGGACGCGCCCCCGCCATGCCACACCGGGACCTGCGCGGGCTCGAACCCGCGACCCCCGGGCCCCGCGCCCGCCGCGCTGCGCGCCGCGCCACAGGGGC